AGGGAAGGATGTTAAAAATTATCCCATGGTAGGCTTCTGACATTTTATATTAAGTGATACAACATAAAATATAAGTAGACTGTGATGGATTAAGGATGCTTCTTACAATCTATAAAGAAAATATTAAAATACAATAAACAGTCATATAGCTAAAGGGTGAGTAAAAAAGTAAAATCGAATGCAAAGCAATATGAAGTAAACCAAGAGGAGGCATGAAAGGGGGAGCAAACATACAAGATATCCTGTGGGAAAAAAATAAGAAACAAATACCAAAACGGTAGATCTGAAAACACACTACCAATTATTACACTAAATGGCAGTGGATTAACCATCTCATTTAAAAGGTAGAAAATGGCCAACAGAGTTTAAAAATCACCAACTATATTCCGTCTGCAAGGGACACTAAAATGTTGCCATATTTTTCCATTCTCAGATGAGTAATTTGATCCTGACTCTTCTGTGTGTGCAAATTTAGCTCAGAACATCTTGGCTTTGAAATGCAATAAGGACTATTGTTTACTTTCATCAGAATAATTTTAAGAATCTTGCTGTTGTTACTGTTTTTTAGGACCAATGACACTGGACTCCTCTCTTATAAAGAACATCTGCCAGTAACTAAGATTGTGATCACAGACACCAGCCGACCGCATTCAGCAGCAGCCTATAAACTAGGACCTCTGCTCTGCCGGGGAGACAGTAAGTGGTGGCGACGTGCCATAAACATGTCTGAGGAAAGTGATGTCCCTTAAGAATCACGTTTCTATCTTATAATAATTAATCAGACTTCTCTTGTGAAAACTCATAAGCAGTGTCTGAAATCATTCCTTTAGTCAATCAACAAAGCGCCCCTTACAGAGTGCAAAGCCCGGGAATAAATGCTGTTTCAGCAAACCTTGTTACGAGTCCAAGAGAAAGCAACCACAAAGCATTTCTATTTGATTGGTTCATAAGCTCATTCCATCATTCCTAAATGTCTGCAAGCCATTGTCTATAAAGGAAGGCCTCAGTGCTACATGAAATTATCAAGAATATATGGTGAGTTTTATACTGTTGGGCCTGGGGTGAAATTAGAACATCAGTAGAATCAAATGTTAGTTTAATCAAACACATTTCAACTTTTAATCTCATTTTTTTTTCCCAGTTTGTGTGTGTGTGTTTTTAGTCTAAATCAGTGGTACCTGCCGTTTTGTATATTCAGTGTCTTAACACTCTAAACTGGAATTTTTTAGTTAAAATATAGTTTCATAGAAATACATATTTTCAGCAGGGAATGAAATTAGCATACGTATCCATGTATAACCTCTCTGAAGTCAGCTAGGTTAGAGACTGATGCGGCAATTATTTTGGCTTTTAGTTATTTCCAGAACTTAAAATGCAAATAGAAGAAATATTTATTTACCTTAAAAGTATATCCTAGGGCTTCCCTGGTGGCGCAGTGGTTGAGAGTCCGCCTGACGATGCAGGGGACATGGGTTCGTGGCCCGGTCCGGGAAGATCCCACATGCCGCGGAGCAGCTGGGCCCGTGAGCCATGGCCGCTGAGCCCGCGCGTCCGGAGCCTGTGCTCCGCAACGGGAGAGGCCAC